TCTTCTTCCTCCTCCTCCTCCTCCTCCTCCTCCTCCTCCTACTCCTCCTACTCCTCCTACTCCTCCTACTCCTCCTCCTCCTCCTCGTCTACCTCCCCTCCCTCCTGCTGCTGCTACTGTTACTCAGGTGTCCGGCTTATATATGGACAATAGTCTGCCTACACAAGTCGCCGGCCGATACATAACCAACTTGCCCCTTTCCATCTTTTAGGCTTCTATTTTCTCTTTCCCTTTTCCTTCTAATCACTTTTCTAGGCGCTGTGCTGCCACATGGAACATTTATTATGTCTACCCTTATGTGAACAGTTTACCTTTTGAACAATACGCGTACAGATAGTTCAATTTATATGTAATGTTTTCACGCACGGGCGTACTGGCGGTTTATTTGAATCTAATTAGTTTTATTTCTAATTATCTGTATACCTGTAAGCTTTTTAATGCATTGTTTTTTCTGTAGCCGCGCGCGTGTGTGTACACTCGTTATGCGTGTCAGTGGGCATAGGAGTAGTAGCTCTGCGGGGTATTTCGGTGGTATGTTATCCGGCAGGTGCGGACAAATGTCGAATATCTAAGTCGTCCTGTGATGACAATATGTGTACGTTGTTAGTTTGAACGCGAGCTGTTAAACAGTTACTATCGGGGGTAAATTACATTTGTGGGTTAAGTTGGCTGACAGGTGTTGTGTGCATTGCTACATTCCTGTCTGCATGCCAGCGAAACACGAGTTGGCCCACAGAATGTGTCCATCGGTATAATGTCCTGCCAGGACTATTTCGTTTGACTTATGTCTACCTTGTGTGTGTGTGAAAAATGTTTAGTGCCCGGTCCCTCTCTCTGCCCTCAAACCACACGTGTGTGTGGGATGCATGCGCTCAACTGCGCCATTGGTTTTTATCAAGCGGCGCACGCCCGAAGCTATAGTAAAACGTAACTGGAGATTTAATATTCAGATATGTGGCAGAATGTATATATGTGGCAAGGAATCAAGAAGAAACTTGAGTTTTCCTTCTCCTTTGCCAAACATAGGCAGCCAGTCTTCCCGAGAAGGATTTTACGCATTGTGTGGACTTTTCTGTTTCAATCCCTGCCC